TTTTCTATATATGATATCAGACCTAAAAAAAAGGTTAAAAATAAAGTTGCTCTGATGGCTCAGATGCAGATTTGATCTCAGATTTTATCTAATAATGCTGATTGGTATGGAAGGAAGGGAGCTATATAAATAGGTCCATAAGTTTGCCACAAGTGGCATTTTGCCACAGAAACATTTTAAATGATCCACTGATGCTTGATTCATATTTTTATAGAACAAAGGGTTTAGTCTCCTCACAGCTTGCTGTCTGAGTACATTTGCTATAGATACGATAAAAGCTAATCAGAGAATGTCAAGGTCCTGCACTTCCTTACCCTACTTAGAGGTCACTAACAATATCTCCCCTAAATACAAAAGTGAGCTAATTAGCCAGCCACAGCATGTTTTCTGGCTGGGAATGACAGTGTGTGCTGCAGATGTGTGCAATATTCACACACAGATACATGCATGAAAAAAACACTTGGTTTTTACAAATGGTGTATTTTCAAAATATTAAATAGTTTAAACTATGTATTGATTGTAAAAAAGTGTGGTGAATCTATATTAAACACAGAGGAAAGTTGTGGTTTTTAAAAAAAATTTTGCTTTTGCTTGTGTGTGTTTTACTCTTTCTATACTGCTCTGGAACCCCAGTTGTCTTGGATCTTGGGTATTTTTGTCCCTATTTCCCTTATCTTCTCCCCCTAAACAATTAAGGTTTCCTACTATGTTTTGACTTTCCCCCCTGAAAAGTCTTTATTCAGAAAGGCTTCAAAGGAGCATAATTCAACCTCCAAATTGGAACACTTCAAATCTGTACACTTTACAAACTTCAAATCTGCACAGAAAAACTAAATTTATGCATGTAAAGCAGATCATTGCCATTTGTAAAAGCAAAGAAAAGGTGACCTCTTTTTTTAGAGACAGGTGGAATGTCTCATCCTGGTGTCACCTGAAGCAGTCACCATCCAGCTGAACAAGTAAAATCAATGAGTTTGTGTATAGATCATCTTCAGACCTCCCCCAATTAGATTTGTCATGATGCTACCAAGAGAGCTTTCTAGGAAGACAGTCCCTTTCTTAAAAAGCTTACAGTCTAAATTAAACAATTAAACAAGAGGAAAGGGGAGGGAGAACAAGGCAAACCACGAAAAGAGTGAGTAGGTTGTTACAAATAGATACTCTGGCTACAGGAGCTATGTGTACAATTGGGATGGTACTGAGACATTACTCTTTCTCTCTCACTAAACACATACAATAAATAATTAACAGTAAACCCCATGAACTGACTTGCTTGAAGGAACACTAAATTGTGTTTTCAATGGAAAATGCAAAAAAAACCAAAAAACCCCCAACATGCTTAATATTTCTGGTTTTAATTAGGAATCCTTAACAGGGAGCAAAATTAACATTAGCCTTTTGGCTTGAGATCACTCCTTTATAGCCAATTCTATCCCCAGAGAAATAGAATATTATAGCAAGGTTCAGTCAACCCTGTAAAGTGAAAAGCTTATTAATTTTTTATGAGACCAACTTTGCATATGACACTGAACAAACTCTTAAACTGAACAGCTGCTTTGCAGGTAGTACCTACAATGTCATTAATAATGCAGGAACGTTATCAGAGGCAGTGGAGAACTGCTTATGGCTCTGTCCCTGAATCTAAACCAATCCCTAAAGTGATACTTCTGCACACCCAAATACATTGCACATTAACATGAACTTTACAGTAGCCATTTATTTTTATGAAATTCTCTTCAATTGTTACTTTGTACCTACTACTAGCTTGTACAAATGAACTATTACATGGCAAAATTATAGATGCGTAAAAAACCAAAAGTGAAGTGTGCAATAGATACTCCTTTTCTTCGGAAGCAGACCCAAACATGCAGGACTTTTTGAGACAGCTGTTAAGAAAATAAGAACAGCCATACTGCATCAGACCAATGGTCCATCTAACCCAGTATCCTGTTTTCTGACAGAGGCTGGTGCCATATGCTTCAGAAGGAGTGAACAGGGCAATTTATCGAATGATCCATCCCGTCATCCAATCCCAGCTTCTGGTAGTCAAAGGCTTAGGGACACCCAGAGCATAGGGTTGCATCCCTGACCATCTTGGCTAATAGTCATTGCTGGATCTATCCTCCATGAACTTATCTAATTCTTTTTTGAACCTAGTTATATTTTTGGCCCTCACAACATCCCTTGGGAACAAATTCCACAGGTTGACTATGCACAGTGAAGTACTTCCTTATGTTTGTTTTTAAATTGTCTGCCTATTAATTTCATTGGTAACCCTTGTTTGTGTGTTATGTAGAGGGGTAAATTTAACACTTCCTTTTTCACTTTCACCATACTATTCATGATTTTCTAGACCTCTATCATATCTCCCCTTAGTCTCTTATGCAATCTGAACAGTCCCAGTATTTTTAATCTCTTCTCATATGGAAGCTGTTCCATACCCCAATCATTTTAGATGCACATTTGTCACATTTTTCCAATTCTAATACATCTTTTTTGAGATGGGGCTACCCGAACTGTACACAGTATTCAAGGGATGGATGTACTATGGGTTTATATAGTGATATTATATTATCTATCCCTCTCCTACTGGTTCCTAACATTGTTAGCCTTTTTGAATGCTGCCACACATTGAGCAGATGTTTTCAGAGAGCTATCCATAATGACTCCACAATCTCTTTCTTGAGTGGTAATAGCTAATTAAGACCCCATAATTTTGTATGTATAGTTGGGATTATGTTTTCCCGGTGTGCATTACTTCACACTTATCAATGTTGAATTTCATCTGCCATTTTATCACCCAGTTTCCCAGTTTCGTGAGATCCCTTTGTAACTCTTCGCAGTCAGCTTTGGTCTTAACTATTATGAGTAATTTTGTATTGTTGGCACCTCACTGTTCATCCCCCCTTTCCAGATCACTTATGAATACTTTGAACAGCACAGATCCCAGTACAGATCTGTGAGGGACCCAGCTATTCACCTCTCTCCATTGTGAAAACTGGCCCTATATTCCTACCCTTTGCTTCCTATCTTTTAACCAGTTACTGATCCATGAGAGGACCTTCCTCTTATTCCTGGCTGCCTACTTTACTTAAGAGCCTTTGGTGAGGGACCTTGTCAAAGGCTTGTTCTACTGCACTGAATAAAATAAATTATTGACCTTTTAATTTCTCAGTGTGCATTTAGTCATTTTGACTAACTTTTAGTGATTAACTCTATACAAAGTAAATATTTTGGAATTAAATTTTTAACTGATCACATCCCCTGGCTTTCTAGGAGCATTGGAGGGAAGGCAGCACACACTGCAGAAAAGTGGGTAATTATACCCACAACACAGTTCAGCTTATCCAGAGCCTCTAAAACAGTGGGCAACTTACATGCCCCAAATACTTCTGTTTCCAGACACATGACTAAATAAAACATCACACTGTCTTGTAGTCGCTGTCAATGCAGTGAGAGAAAACAGGAAGGGAGCCATTGGGGTGTGAAGGAGCTGACAGTTAAAATTTAGGACATAAGAAATAACCCTAAGTTTAGCACTGGCTTTAAAGTTACTCCTGAGGGAATTCTGTGCCAAAAAAATAAAAATTCTGAGCACAATGTTTTAAAATTCTGAAAAATTCTGCATATTTTTATCTGTCAATAAATAGATGTGGAGGCTCCAGCATGGCAGTAGGGAGCACAGGCCACAGGCTGCAAGGGGATGGGAGATTACCCTGCAGCCCTGCCCCCGGAACACAGACTGACACAGCCCAAGAGCCGGGCCTACCCCAGAAACCCCTCAGGGCCCTGCCTCTCCCCTCCATGCGCTCCAAGATAGCGAGCGAGGGGAACAAAGTCTCACAGCACACCCAGCCCTGGCCCCCAATCCAGGTGTGGGGCAAGCAGGCTCAGCTGGCAAGATCCAAGTGTGGAGGGGATTAGTGTGGGGGAGATCCGGGTGTGGGGTGGTTTCTGGGTGTGGGGGACTCAATGGGGAGGTCAGGGTGCTGAGGAAGTGGGGGTTGGTGGGATGCTGAGGGAGTGGGTGTTGGTGGGGTGGAGGTCTGGGTGCAGCTGGTTGGGGCTCAGTGGGGTGGGGATCTAGGTGCAGGGGGGCTCATTGGGGTGGTGTAGGAGGGTGGGGGTTCAAGTGCGGGGCACAGCAGGAGATGGTCTGGATACAGGGGGATGGGCTTGGTTGGGGGGTCTGGATGCAGGGGTGAGGCTCAGCAGGGGATTCTGGTGCAAGGGTGAGGCTTGGTGGAGGGATCTAAGTATGAGGGGGTCTGGATGTACAGGGGTTGGGCAGATGGGAGAAGCAGCTCCCCGTACAGTGATCCCTCCCACTGTGGCTGAGGCGTGATGGGGCAGGAAGTGGAGGAGGGGGTGTGGAGCTTCCTGCATCTGGGGGTGGATCTGACCCAGCTTCATCCATTCCTTGCAGGGGAAGAGGAAGTTCTGTCTTCCCCAGCCCAGCTGGTACTAGCAGCTGAGCTTGGCGCAGGGTAGGAGCCACGGGCCAGGACATCCCCAGCCACACCCCCAGCAGAGATTTAGCTCTCTGGCAGCTGCTCCAAGCACCTAACACGATGCGCCCATGATGCTGGGGCAGGGCGTGTGACCACTCTTGTGGCTTCCCTTTGCTTCCCTGTCATTTTCTGCAGAGAAGCAAAGAAATCTGCAAAGGACATGAATTCTGCATGTGCGCAGTGGTGCATAATTCCCCCAGGAGTATGAGGTGTATAAAATACCATAATAAACTCCTAAAGCACAACAGTACATGTAGGGTCTGCTCCAGCTCCCATGGAAGCAAATGTCAAAACTCCCTCTAATTCAGTGGGAGCAGGATCAGGCCCAAGATGTCTGTTTTGTTAGAATGTGCTTTCATTTCAAATGGCACTGTCCAGTTTAAGTAGTCTCAGAATTGGTTTTCAAAGCTATACAAAAAATCCATTTGGTATTAGTATTTATTTAAGACCAATGGAGTTGGATTATTTAGACAATCAAGATCCACTTGCCTTTCTTAAATTTATGTACAGGAAGCTTCTTAAGCTGATCTTTTCGAAGCCGATTCCTTCTTGCTCTATGTCTATCTTGCACAAATTTTGTGATCTGGAAAGAAGCAGACATAAATAAGATGATAGAAACATAAAAGACAGCAATATAACAATGAAATAGCCAGTTTTGTTTTGTGAGCAACCATTCTAAGTTAGCCAAAGATGAACTGTCCCCAGGATTGGGGTAACATACAGCCATCTTTGTCCCAGTTGGACTCAAGGGCAAAGAGGTATATATACAAACAGCAGTGAAGCAGGATAATTTTACACCAGTAAAATCTCTAGATGACCATGATACTAAAAGCTGAATATATATATAACATTTATACAGAAAATAATTTAATAGGAAATAATGGCAAACTCCTTGCTGTATCCTGTACAACCCCACTGAAGCAGCACCCTGGCTTAAGTCAATGGGGTTGAAGGTGGTGTAGTCACGGCAGTATATGGCTCATTTGGCTTGACTTTGTTTTCATTTACAGTGGTTCTACACCAGTGTAACTCCGCAGGCAGATTATTCCCTGCTTAGTAGGAATTTATTCGTAGCACCTAGCTTCAGTTTCCCTTTTTCTAACTTCAGGCTGTCTCCTATCTTGCTCCCTTTGATCACACAGAATAAATCCTTCTTATTTTTCTTACACTCCCACAGATATTTTTAGTCTGTTACTATGTCCTGACTTTGTATGATGAGATTATTTTCATGGCCAATTTTAGAAAGGAAATTATGAGACCGCCTTATCTACAATGGTGCTAAAAGACAAACTGAACAATCCAACTTGGAAGATGGCAGAGCTCACCATTTTGTTAACTGTAACAGTTATACAGCCAAAGCAGAAGAGACTGTGCAGCTAGCTACCTTATGGTACAATAAATACTGTTGAATATTAGTGTTATAAACAACGTTAACTTTCCTTGCCATCTGATAATCACTTAAGGAGTTGTTTTCATTTTATGACTGTAGTAAGATGAGGCCCTGAAACATAAACCCTTATCAGAGGCCCAGTATGAGGCCTGAACTAAAGTAATGGTCAAGACTTTGCTAACATAAAGCAAAGTTAAGCTGTGAGCCAGAGGCAGGCCCTGCTCACAGAAGCTGGCAAGGAAAGGGCTGATGCTGCAAAAAGAGACATACCTAAAAGGTACTGGACACCAGATATCAGAACATTCGCATACTTGTACGTTCCACACACAACAAGGAACAAGCTGACCCATCCCAATGATAGGGCCAAAAGAATAATATGATGAATAGAGTTGTTTTGTTCAAACCAACATGTACAAGGTGAGACGAGGCACCTTGCTACGTAGAGGGGTTGTACCTTGCTACGTAGAGGTAGCACCTCAATATGTCAGGAGTGATGTGTAACTTGTTTGTATCTGTGTATAAGAATGCATCCCTGAGTGGATATCTTTGTCCAGCCTAGGGGGCAGTGGAAAGTCCCGCCACTGACCGAGCTGAGTCCATAGCCAGGGGGCACATAGTCGTAGTACGTCCTCTAGAGTAAAGTCTAGAGGGAACTATTACTGTGCTTTGTTTGACAATAAACCTGGCCGACGTGCCTTCGTACCTTACTAGAGTCTGTGGTCATTGGGGGTTCTCTTCGGATCTGCTGTGTCAGCTATCTGCGCAGAGCTAGGGCAGCACACAGAGGGAACACACGCACACAGCCGATTGATATCAACAATGAACAGAGCAGAGCACCACACCGGGAGCGTCTGACAACACTGACCACTGCTATTCTTATAAAACTACCCCTTATCTCTTTTTGTTTAATATAATGCAAGTATAAATGTAGGTATAAGTGATACAGACGAAATACACAATGTGTGTTATGAACATGCTATCTGATGACAGTTTAGCTGAAATGTTGATATCAATGTAATTCCTCCCTGAGGAAAACAAACTTGCCATTTTTTGTTTTGCATTTATAGCATATTTAGATGTTCCTGTTGTTTGGAGACTGAACTTCCAGTCATTTTTTTTCCAGGTGTGAACTGTGTAGTGGTAAGATTTTATGTTTGTATTTCATATAATTTAAAATAAAAAATAAAGAATAATAATGTAGCATGTATTAAATGTATAGGTGTATGATTTCATTATATTTTGCTAGCCATTTTTTTTTTTTTTTTTTTTTTGGAATAGCAGAAAGGACTGGCCTAATGGGCCATTGGTAAAGATGCATTAGCCAGAATTTGTATTTGAAGCTGATTTTAAGGCAGTGACAGACTTTAGGGTTACCATTTTGTTGTAGGTAGAGCCTTTTAAAATAAGTAAAAAAATGCAATGATTTTTTGCATTGCAATTTGATGTTTTTGTTGAAATGTTTTGTGTAAATTAATT